GCACAGAAAAGCGGAGGATCACACATGTGATGAGCTTCTTTCTTCCCCTCACTTTTTTTTTTTTGCAGCTGTGCGTCATTTGAAGTAAATTGTATGAAACCTGGTATTCATAACTGTTGGCCATGATTCCACCCTGGAGTCCTACTAACATCATAATGGTTTAATCTGTGCGGTCCTGACCCGGGTCTGTTGTTCACATCTGACCTGAGTGGGAGAGAAGACGATCGTTCAGCGCACACAGCATCTGTGAGCTATTGTTTCTTTCCTCCTATCTGTCTTTCTATCTAGCTAGCTATGTAGCTAGCTAGATCTAGCTAGCTATGTAGCTAGCTAGATCTAAGTAGCTAGCTAGATCTAGCTAGCTATGTAGCTAGCTAGATCTATGTAGCTAGCTAGATCTAGCTAGCTATGTAGCTAGCTAGCTTTATAGCTATCTAATGACAAATTACTTTCCACAGGACAACATTGTTTGGCAAAACACAAATCTGTTATTTCAGGAAGAGGAAAGTCATTATTGAACATTTCAGTAGAACATGGCGGTGGTAGCATAATGTGCGGCTGCTTTTCTTAATCAGGGAAGGTGTTCAGAGTAAGAGGACGGATAGAGCTAAATACAAGTCAGACCATGAATAAAACCTGTAAGAATCGACAAAAAAATAAAAAATAAAATAAAAGAAATAGGGTCTAGGATGAAAGTTCACCTTTTAGCAGGATGACGGGGCCCTGAATTTTCAGCCGGACCTCACACACGTTGCAGTAGCCCAGCAAACCTCAGACCTACATCTAATTGGGAATTTGTGGCTAAAACCCAAAAATAGTTGTTCTCAGACGCTCTCCATCCAGTCTGACCGAGCTTAAGATGCGTTTGTGTTGGGAACAAGAACGGACAAAAACCTACACATGCAAAAACCGGCTGAGAACAACTCCCAAAAGCCGCTGTCTCTGAAAACCGACGTGTGAGTCACGGCGTAGCATCTAGGAAAGATGGCAGCTCGGTGTCAGATCCCCTCTCTGACGCTCTCTCATGCCACGGGACTGGAAAGCGACTGCATGACGCCCGCTGAGAGGTTCTCCACACCTTTGTGCAAAGAACAGCTTATAAGAAGGACCTAATTAGCCGGTGTCAAAAGTCCACCCTTATCTGGACAGGCCCTCTCTCCTGGCCAAGCGAAACCATATTTCACGTCAAAATGAGTGGCTGACATTTTCCAAACAATTCTTCACGTATAGCCTTGTCGTTGCGGGGATGTGAAAGAATAATAATAATAAAAAAAACACGACAACTTTGGTTAATCATTCCACATCGTCTAGGATCCAGCCCTTTCTTTGACAGATAAAATATATGACCAACCGGGGGGGGGAGGCACAGTGATAGGAAGGGGTTTGGTTTTTGTTCTGTTTTTTTCTCATGTTGCTTTGCCTCCGTCTAAAACCAGATTCTTCAGAGCCGAGTCTCTAAACAGGCGATAACAAGACGCAAACCTCCAGGTATATCAAAGCAAAAGCCTCCGTATTAAAAGAAGACTATAAATATAATCATTAGACCGATGATTACACGTACAGAGAAGGTGTGTGTTTGTGCACGCACGCACGCGCGTGAGCGAGTGTGAAGGTTAAGTGCTTGATTAAAAGAGTGTGTCAAACGTTGCACATAAGAAGGGTGGAGACTCCAGACATTGTGGAGACAGAGGTTATAAACTTGGCAAAGCATTCTCTCACGAAACTCCATTGTTAGGCCACTGTTATATTTCAGATGACTAATGTTTCATGATCTGTCAGGACTCACAGTAGGCGTTAGATTTATTGCGCTTGAGCTGAATTCGTTGAATTGGTAAGTTTGGGTCCCCAAAGAGGGAGTTTGCCGTATGGAGCTGATTGGGATTTTTTTTTAATTCGTGTATATAAGGTTGGGAAAAAAAAAAAAAAAAACATATATAGGCTCTTCCTGATGTCCAAATTTATTCAAACACTTGGTATTTTTTACAAGTTTTTTCTTCTTAAAATCACAAACTTTCCACGTATTTTATTGGGATTTCACACGATAGACCGCCAAAGAGTAGTGAGTTGTGTTGTGGAAAAGGCAAATTGCAAATAAAGATTTCAAGAGTATGGGAAGATGTTTATACAGGGACCCCGGTAGGTTAACTTTATGGACAAACCTTTTACATCTTCAAGAATTTTGGGAATGCCAAAAAACTCAAACTTATTTGGGCTGGCTATTAAAGAGACTCGGATGTAAACTTTAACAGCTCCATTTTCACATATGAACAAACTGGATTTGAGTGACTGTAGCACTTTCTATCAGAGGTTTATGCTTTCTGATCGCAATTAGGTGCACCGGATGTCAAATTGAAAGGAGAGCCTAATATTTTGGCACGTCACCTTTTCAAATGTTTATTTACAACAAAGGATCTAAAAACCAATCCATCATTTCTCTGTGATCCGTCCACAGTTGAAACCAGAAGTTTTGATGCACCCAAGAACATTTTTTCCTCACCAACGTAAGTTAAGCCGGGGTAAACTTCTCTTCTTTTAGATTACATAGGATGACCTAAGTTACTTCTATTTGCCAAATTCACAAAAATAAGATTAGAATATGTCACAGATTTAGTTATTTATTCAGATGTTTACATACTTGACAATATAGGGAATCCCAGATGATGTCACGGCTTTGGAAACGTCTGATAGGCTAACCGTCACATTTGAGCTAGCTGGAGTAACAATGCATGTATTTTAAAGTCACACTTCAAATACACTGCTTCCTCGTTTGACACAATTAGAAAGTCGAAAGTAACCAATCAAAAATATCTAGATATCTATATTTATTTAGATGTCAATATCTAGAAAGATATATTTTTATATATTACTTTTTTTTTTTTTTACCATTTTCTTCTTTTTTTCAGTTTTAAGCCTCGGATCATGCTGCTAAAATAAGTCATGCATTTCTCTGATGACTTTTTACTATATAAACGAAACAACAAACTGCTGGTTGTCACGGTAACAGAATTAGAAAGGAAGACATTTCAAGGAAATAATAATAATTCAATGCTTTTGTTGGTATTCACCAATTTGAAAACCAAGTGATATCCAATTAAATTCTTGTTCTTGAAAACAACAAAAATAATAATAGTGGAAAAACCACCACCAACAACAAAAGTTTTCTCCTGTCTTTTACACCAAGATGACAAATAATTGGTTACTGTCACAATTTAACTCATGTCAATTTCGTATTCCTGGAAAGCTTAAATTTAATTGAATGTTCAGGTTTCAATCCTGAAAAAACAAACAAACAAACAAAAACAAAAACAAAGAAAGGCTGACAGACCGAACTAAATAATCTGTTCTTAGGAAATTCTTAAGAACAAGAACATAAAATCTGAGAAGTAGGGAAGAAAAACAAGTGGTTTAAAAACTCATCAAGAGAACAAGTTACTGGAAACAAAGAACAGGTGAGAGGTGTGGCCAGCTGAGAAAACAGACTGGAATAGCTGAAAATAACAGGTTACCAAAAAGGTCTTTGAAAAAACTAAAAAAAAACAAAACAAAACCTGCTATTCTGATGAGATTGCAAAGCCCACAAATGAAACCTCTCTTCTTTTTTTTTCTTCTTTTTTTTTATCATTCCCCATCACAGCGGTTCAAGCGTTCGGCGTCTGAGGGTTTTCCTATAAAACAGTCTCTATTTCTTTCACTTCGTTACGTTTAACGACGCAGAAAATAAATGTTTGACCTTGGTTTAATGTCTTCTGATACCAGTCAGGGCTCTTTGATTGTGTCGTAGTGAAAACTTTTATGAAGCTAAAGAAAGACAGCAGAGAGAATGGGATTTGGTAGGAAAAAGTATTGACATCTGTTTAAGATGACGAGTCATCAAGGTTCGTTAAACAGGCAAAACATTGGTTGAAAGTCAAACGCTTTAAAAAAAAAAAGACTCATGATTCATGCTGCTGAAAGCTCTGCTTTTGGGACTTGAGACAAACGATTGAGACGCAGTTGACAACAGAAGTCTGGACTTTCAAAATGCTTGACTAAATATATTTATTTATGTGTTTAGTTGTTAGAAAACGTGTTCATCTTTACTGGCTTCTATGAATTCATTTTCACACAACCTTGATTTCTAGAAGAGCATGCTATAAGCTGGGGTCATGAACTATGTAAGTATATATTTTAATGCTTTGTTCAGTGCAAAACTGTAGCGCGTTATCACATAGAGATGCTCTCCTTGGTTTCGCATGTCGATTCTTGTCTTTTTCAACTAAGAATCCTTTAAATAAAACGGGAATTTTCTGAACTTTAACTCGTCTTGCATCCTTTTCTGCCCTCTTGTCTTCATTTTGGTGAACATGATGTTCAACCCTCGCTTTACTGAATCAGGATTTCCTGTTTTTTTCACATATTTGGGAGCCTGAGATTAAGAAAGAACACACCAATTATAAATGAAGTAAATTTATAATAAAGTCTATGCATAAAGGATTAGCTTTTGACAGTTTTACGAATTAAGGGTACATGTGGTAGATTTTCTTAAAGCAGGACTTTTAATGTTTGCGTCTCTATTTGTAGAAAGTCAAAGTTTAACGTGTTTGCTTCTTACTCCCGTACAGGCTTAGTTCCTGTCTTTCTTCGAAAGTGTCACGGTCTGTCGGTCTCCCGTTCTGCTTGTTTTACTGTGAAAGACCAACATCATCATCATCGACGCTAAAATGTCCCCAAAGCGGGACGAGGCGATTAAAGCCACGGCTGCAGATCAATAAGGCTTGTTGTTACAGGTCTGCGTGCTGCTGCAGTCGCTTCTCCTGGAGGTGACCTCCTCCGGTCCGACTTCTCCTGTTTGCCTGTTCTTCTCAGGAGCTGTTTGTGGTTGTTTGAACCCCAGAGACGAGCTGCCAGTCGGCTCCTCTGATCTTTTCATTGTGTAACTTCACCACGGGCCTCCCAGTTCTGTACAAATCATTGTGATTCTTGCTTTCAGGCATGGGAGAGTCTGCTTCAGTCCTCACCACCTCTCTCTCTCTCTCTCTCTCTCTCTCTATCACGCACACTGTCTCTACCACTCTCTGTTGGGGGCAGGAATAATATTTTCTTTGAAAGCTTCTTCAGCTTTGAAGATGGAAAAACAAGACATTATTATTATTATTATTACTATAATTATTATTGTTAAGTTATTATTGCCTTTCTTTCCTGGAGGTTAAGTTATCTCCAGTTTCTAGGAGCTTTGCTGGACAGTCTGTTATTGAGCATGTCATCAATAAGGCAGGAAAATAATCCAGTTACAGTCTCACTGTAATGCTCAGGCCAGTTATAATCAGTTTAACCTCAGTCGGGATCAATAGACTGACTGGGAGAAAAGAGGAGGAAATTAGGATTTGCTGCCCTCTGCCGGTCCACTTTCACATTACATACAAAAGAATTTGCTTCAGCTCTGCAGCTTTGTGAGGGAAACCAGTTGCTTCCAAAGCTGTAATTTAACCCCGAAAACCTTTAAATAAATAGGTCAAAATGTCCTGGTGAGGTTGTTCTCACGCAGTATCTTTTAAACACAAAGTTGCAGCTATTTCATGTTTCAGCTATTTACCTGAAAATGTTTTGTTGGTATTGCATCATTTCAATATTTTAGCGAGCCTGTCGTGGCTTTTTCAAAAGTTAGTATTTGGTGTTTTTAATCCAAGCTTCCATTAGTAGGTCAAATGTGGCCCGCGTTCACTTCCAGTGGAATTTCATTGGAATATTTAGAATATAGACTATTTGTGACTGCAAATAAAATGACTACATTGAACGTATTATCGCCTACATAATTAGGCATACATGGTGAGGATAAGATACGGTGGCACTGGTTTCAAAATCTAAAAGTCTGTTGATTTACAAAGGCATTCTTTGTCTTTGTCGTCCTCAAAATACCAAATGTTTTCTCTAGTTTGTAAAAAGCTTCAGCTTTTCAGTCATTTCCATTGTCTTGTATTTCCCAAAGAGACAACAGAAGAGCAGGGGCTATTGAAATATCCAATAAATGGCTGTCAAATAGAATGAGCAGCATAGGAAGACTGAAAGAGATTTCTGTACACAACCCAGAAAACATAAAGGCTGCATGTTTTTCATGTACATTGGCTGCAACACAAAGAAGCCCCATTATGAAGCAAAACGTGAAAAAGCCGCATCTCGGTGCATCACGGTGAATAGGAGGGTCACTCGATGCTGCTCCGCTCTCTTTTTGCAGCTGGGGCTGATAACAATATTTTATTTAAAAGAAAAAGAACTTCAAAAACTGCCCTTTTTCCACCCTTTGAATATGTTGCCAAGCAACCCTGGTTTACAAAGACCCCTGTGAATAATATATGCTTTGAAAGGAGTAGAACTGAAAGGAGAATTGTCCACTCAAAAAGAAAAAAAAAATGATGTTCAGTAACATCCACATTGGCTGCAGATTAGGCATCTATTTTATTTTATTTATTTCTATCCAACAGCTTCATATTTACTGCTCAGCATTGGTGCAACAACTACGACAAAAAAAAAACAATCACTTTATGTCATCTTAAAGGCTTTCTACATTCACTCCAGTCTGTTGGTAAAAATAAACAAAGCATCCATCCATGATTTTTATTTCGTATGTTGAAAAGGTAAATAGCATAATAATCAGTCGGTACACATTGTGATTTTGTCTTTTAGTGTTTTTCTATATTTGTCTGGAACCCAGTTCATGGACGAAACGGACGGCTCAAAAGTGAAAAAAACACTTTTTTTTTTCCTCTCCTTTTTTCAGTTTTAACAAACTGTGCAGTTTGTGGCAGTGTTTGCCAAAGACAGGATGTAAAGATGGTTAAGCCCTAATTAGAGGTTTTAAGGTATCTGTGTGTCAAATTTTAAAAGCTTGTTAATAGAAAAGATTTTTGAGAAAAGGTGAAAATGTTGAGGACAGCAGCCATGTATACAGGGCTTTGTAAAAGTTTTCATTCCCCTCAACTTAGTCTTTTTTATTATTACAACCACAAACTTCGATACGTTTTGTGAGATGAAACCAACGTGAATTAACTTCATAACTGTGAGGTTTGTTTTCATTTTTTTGTACATATTAAACAGAACATTGGTGAACAAACAGCATCAGGGAGAGCAAGCAACACAGCAGGCATGCCAAGGATAAAGGTGTGGAGACGTTTAATGCAGGGTTAGTTTATAAAACAGTTCGATCAGCTTTGAACAGCTCATGGACCAACGTTCAATTCATCATCTGGACATGGGGGGGGGGAGCACAATTGGTGCTAAAAAAAACAAAAACAAAAAAAAACTTACTATCCAAGGTTTGTGGCTGCAATGTGTTGAGTTGTGAAGTTCAAGATGTGCAAATGCTTTTGCAAACTTTCTTTAATCCTTTCTATACGCAGACCCAGGGGGTGCTGAACATTTTTGCTTCATGTCATATCTCCTTTTTTTCTTTCTTTCTTTCTTTTTGGCAATTGAGTGAAAACATTTGCCTATGATGTAATATCAGACATTGTATTAAAATCATGAGGTGACATGAGAGACGCGCTCCCTCGGATAAACAGTGTTAGTTGGTGGCAGTCCGAAACATTCATTTTTACAAAGTCCAGCGGTTCACACGCACAAGAGTAACAACAGCTATGATCAGGATTAGTGAGAGGATAAAAAGAAATCACAATCTTCAGTCTGAGACGGAGTGATTATCAACATGAAACCAAATTACAAACAATCGTCCTTCTGTCGCAGATCTACTCTTTCATTTTCACCCTTTAATCATTTGCGATTTTTCACATATATGTTATTCATTTATCTACCTATATTTACACATCTCACCTACACAACCAATGTGTATTTGGTTTTTCTTTTTTTTTTTTTTTTTGCCCAAAATTAAAAACATCTTACTAGCTTCAGAGCTTTCAAAGTGCAAAACTGTGAAGGGAGTGATGGAGGGGAACGAGGGGGGGGAATGAACGAGTGAATCACTCAACGAATGCCGTCGTATCACTGTAACATCATGTATTCACACACGGAACCATGCTGACACAATACTTTTCACACATATAAAATTCTTCACAACGTTTTCCCAGCATGACAACAGGAACGAAGCCCCACCATGTTCAGCCAAGCTAAGCGAGTCATTCTTCAGACGGCAATATGGCGCAGTTTTGTTATGTCACATCAAAGTCAAACCACGACTGGCATCATCTTAACCTGATTGCCTCTAGACCCGGTTTTGCCCCCCCGCTTCCACAGTGAATCTGGCCAAACGTCACTGTCTGAACGCAGCCCTGAACGGCGGCCAAGTCTCTACTCACTGCCTGGCAACGCCGGAGCGCTCGGACGTTTTCCGCCCTCTAAAACTCAGCTGTACCTCACTGTGAAGCAGGAGGAGGGAAAGGACTCCTGCCAAAAGCAATGGGACTGGCAATTAAATGCTTAGTTGGGTTTAAACAGTGTAATGAAGTTATGAGTTAAAAAAAAAATTAAGAAGAAATCAATGTAATGAAGAATTTATGTATATAAAAATAAAATCTAACAGATCGATCATTTGAATTAATCAGTTAATCTCCTAAAATGAACCACACAGAGCCTTCCAAAACGTATTCACACCACTTGAACCGTTTCACATGATGTCAGATTACAAGCCCAAAACTCCAAACTGGGATTAAACAAACCAACACAAAGTAGTGTGTAAGGAAAGGAAGGAAAATGATGCATAGTTTTCAGTACACCCCCCCCCCCCAAAAAAAAAAAAAACAAAAAAAAAAAAAAAAAAAACAAAAAAAAATATACGTACTTTTTAAT